TCGGACATCTGCACAATTTAAAAATTGACCTTCCAGCAACAAGTAAAAATAGAAAGTGAAATCATAATAACTAACAAACAAACAAAAAACATGGTACGAACCATTTAACTAATGATTAAAATGTTCACTTCTGTACTTACTCTACTATATGAAATAAGCATAGAAATAACCCCTTTAACAATGAATACAACATGAAATTGAAAATAAAAAAATGAAGTTTCCTTGAGATTAACACATTGAAAAAACCTGTCATGTAACCAACAACAAAACAATCAATATAAATTAAATATCGCATAGAAAAAGGTCAAGTTAAAGATGAAAGCACTGAAAATAAACCTTGAAGCTAATGGAATGAAAGAATCAAAATGTAAGGTAAAGCACTCGTGCATATGTACATATATAAATATGTTTTAAAGTAAAGAAGAAATATACAAAATATATAACATGAGGGGATAAATCTACTTTGCCTCTATCACAGGTGCAGGATGTTACATGTACTCTCAGACCCCTGACATTCAGACAAATAGATTTTCTCTGGTTCAGGATGACAGGCTGTGACAACTAATCATACAATCCTGCATGACTCAAGTTTTCATCACGACCCATGGTCCTCATTGTAGGTTGCCTCCTGGCATGGAGAGGCTCACTGCTCCATGGTTCATGGTCTTGACCAGAGCTGGAGTTGGTGTACTTAGGCTAGTGACAGTCTGGAAGACCTGTCGAGACCTCCACATGTGATCTTGGACTCATTATATGTCATTCCACCTGGGTGACTTTCATTCGTCCTTGCTTCACTTTCTCTAACATTGATCTTCTGGTGCACCAGATATCAGCTGATCATTTGGAGTCTGTGGCTCTAGGCTGATCAGTGTGAGGGACCTTTGCAGCATTGACAAAAGTTTTATGTTCAGGAGAGGACTTATGGACTTAACACCTCTTTCATACAACCATCTCTCTGTGGGGGCAAAATTTCCCTCTGATTCAAGAGTACCTGAAAAATATGTTATTCTTTCAATAAAAGTGTTACTTTAAACTCAAGAGATCAAGTAAGAACAAATATGCATGTTAATAAAAACAGAAAACTGTAAATAAATCCTGTTTTCATTAGTACCACAATTTCTCCTTCCTACCCACTCTGTGGTATTCTCAGGGAAGTTTTATAACAGGAAGATTGGTCAGGAAAATTATGAAGTAAATCAGACTCAAACTAAATGATTGAATTTAAGCTAAAAGAATAAATAGACTGGACAACCTTATTACATTGCAAAGAAAAAGAACACTAGACATTTGCCTTGTACAGAAGCTGTAAATCAATACACAATTTGCTTTATGTCATTCTGTTGACCTATTCATTGTGGTGACCAAGTGTAACTTATGTGAATACAATGATCTGTATTATCAGAAAATGTTGGACTTGCTCATGATGATATATATATAACCACATGACTAGCTCTTCTCTTACAACATAGTTAAAGTGTACCCTCTAGATATCATCTACTCAGCCAGTGAGAGACAATGCTGTTATTGATCTGTTTCTACACATTAGGTGAAGTTGCAAGAATATCCCTATGAGCAAAGCGGATACTATTTGCTAGAAAAATACAAGAGAACAAAGGTTACTAGAACCAAAGCAACTCTGTAGATTTCTGGACCATGTGTTTATGCTAAAGCTGCATAAAATCAAACTAAAATGAAAAATTTGGAAAATTCCTATATTAATAAAAGAAAGTAGAAAACACGTAATATGCTGTATACTTCTCTCTCTAAAATAGTTTGATAAAAATGTAATCAAAGTTATCAGCAGATGTCATGAAATTTTAGTAGATGGCTGAATGATAAAGGATCAACCTTTGTTCCCAACTTAGTGTATGCCATTATAAATACATCCTAGTTGGTGAACAAAAACCAAATTGATGCTGTGTAGCATTGGAACTTGTACAAAAAATGATTGTTCTTCTTTATGGGATTCTTCATATCTATCTTAACTTAGCTGTTACTACCACAGACTAAAGCTAGTAACAAGTTTCTGGACACCATAAATCTGATTAATTTCTTGCATGTACCACAAGATGGTATTAAACAAAGAAAAATATAAAATTATAGCCCGTTTTTGTTTCTGTAACTTAATTTGAAACTTAGAAAAATTATATATTTAGATAATAGGACACTGTACATCAATGGGTATATAAAATTAGAAACTGTATTGAACTACAAACCGTAGTATTTGTTCATAGCTATTTCAAATATGTCCAAAATATAACGAGTTTGTTGCTATGTATTAATTAACAGTAAATTATTGTTGTGTATTTTAACAAGAGGCAGTATGGTAGAAAATGTTTATTTCTCTACTGTTTGTTTGTGAAAAGGACAACATTTTATGTGGGTATGGTTGACAAAATGTTTTAATATGATTTATCATATGTCTTTTATCATATTGCTGATGGTACTCCCCCAAAAAAAAGATAGGTTAAAAGATCCTGTATTCCAGTTCAATGTACCTAATTCATTATTGATATCTCTTGATATATAATATTATTTGATGCTTGACAAAAACATCTTACGTAGGTGATTTGGGCATTTTATGGCTGACTTATGTTTTCCATATATTTGTGTATATGTAACACAAAGCAAATACATACTATTTGACTCAAGAAGCATAGAGGATGCAAATAATTAATTGCATTCCTTATTGAGTCAAACTCTTCATACTAGGTGTTTCATATATATATATAAACTTATGCTGTGCATAGTTGGGAGCATATAATTAATGAGATGCACTTAAAAATTACTCATACTTTGTTCATGTATTTGACTTTTGGGTATCTCATGTATTTTACTTTCAAAAAAACAGCAATATTGAGTTTTCATACAGTATTTTAGTCAACAGGTAGATGGCAGTAGACATTTGTTTTTCATAAAAGTAAATCACTTCTATCTTTCTACATGCTTAAGGAAATTTTTCTCAAAAAAACATTTAGTTTTACTGAAACTAAAAGAAAAAGGAAACTAATGTATGCACAACTTAACTCAGTCTTCAAGAAATATGCTATTTGAAAGTTTTTAGTTACGCTAATGTATGTTCTCATAAACAGTAATTGTGGTGCTACATTAATTTAAGAAACTCTGTAACCTGTGAAATTTGCTAATATATTATAACTTATTGTATCAAAATATGAAGGATGCACATGTTCTGTATGTTTCAGTGTTATGCAATATGTATCTTCGGGTGACAAATATAAAAGTAAGTTGAGTCCTAAAAACACAAACCTTGTCAGTTCATTTGTGTTGATATGTTTTTATTTCAGCATTACTTATGCTAGAAAAAAATGCCAGTCATCAGAGAATTTATTGTCAAGAATAATAGCTTAAGACCTTTTACTTGTTCCTATACTCATTTCAAAAATAATAGAGAACTTGAAATTAATTTATTTTATTATTTGACAGGAAATTACAATTTCAGTTTTTAATGTAAAAATCTAATTCATGATAGTCTGTAATGGAATCGGGATGAGTAAAAAATGAATTTCGTGCATAGGTTTGTTTCTCTGCTTAATCATCAGATAATTGTTCATTGCTTATAGTATTGTCATGAAATTATTGCACTGAAAATAAAAGATAAAAAAGAAGTCACTAGCAATAAATAGTGCATACACCATTATTCTTATGGTATTAAACATGGTAACTGTATAATACCTTTAAAAAATAATTTTTAATTATTCAAAGTGTAGATTAATAGTGATAATTTTTAAGCTATATCGTTTAGTTTTCAGTGAAAACTTGTAATAAAAGTAATCATTTTGTTGCAATTTTTATAAAAGTTTCATTATTATGTATAATTTAAATAGTTGTAAAATGAAACTGTAATTTTGTTAGTACCATGTAGTAAACATCAAAACATTTGACTGAAAATTTAGAGCTATCTTGGTTTGATTCTATCAATAACATATTTATAACCAAAATAACGTTTACTTACTGAAAACATCAGAGAAATCAAATTGAAAAAAAAAGATGTTCTACCTAATTATTCAGACATCATCAGATTGGGTGACCTGAAAGGAAATTATTTTAATGTTAGTTATCCTGGTTGTATATGTATTTTAAGGCTTTCCTGACATGTTTATATTCTTTCTTAAGTGTATTCAATATTTTTCAGTTTAGAAATATTTAATAGAGTGAGCACTGGTATATAAAGAAGGTATGTATTTATTTCAAATGTTAACAGTCACGTTTTTGCCATAATACTTAATTCAGGTGAGCCATCTGCTAGATAATCAATCTGTTCAGGTAGTACTTGAGTATTCCAGTCATGTAGTTACTTTAGAAGTTTGAGTATATTCAGATAATTCTAAATAATGGAATGAATTAATGAAGTATCATATCTTTTTTAAATACCAAAGTAAGAAAAGGAGAAGACAATATACACTTAGAAATCCAGAATACTACTCAAGCTAACAGCAATAACTGTAGTCATTCAAAATTAAGGAAATAGAAACAAACATTCAAAAGAGAAATATAAAAAATGGTACTAACTCTCAGAAACACTTAGTCATTGTCATCTTCTTTAATTCAATGTGTATGTTTAGCTATCAAACTTTTTTCTGACTTTTAAATTGATAAAGGCTTAGAATTCATGGACATTGTTACTGTATTGAAGTATTAGTAACTTCAAAAATAAATGGAGATTATAAAATGACAGTTCTCAAATATAATTTAATTTGACAGGTGGTATGTGTAAATTATTTCCTTTAGATATTTTATCATTAATTATGCCTGTCTGTCTAGCTTGTTTTGTTAACTATCAACAAATGATTTGTCTTTTTCTAGATACTCATCATATAGGGAGGGATTTTAATAAAATTAAAATTTAGTTGGTATTTATCAGATATATTTTTCGAATATTTTGTTCTGTACTTTTCAAAGAATGTGCACTTCTATTAAAACAAATACTCAGTGGAGAGCAACTGAAATGTAAAAAATAACATTTTATTGTTTCTTTAAAGACACAATTCCTTGGTGGAAGGCATGGTTAAGGAAATATGTGGTGTTGTGTTTGGTATCTGGTGGACTCCTGGTGCTTTTGGGAATTATCTTCATTGGAATCTACTTTACTCTTCGGACTTACACTTCTTCTTTACAATTCTTTGAAACAATTCCAACCTATGTTCCTGCTGTGGTGGTAAGTGCTTTTTTGTAAATCTGAGATGTAATATTAACAATGTTCAAATATTACCTTTAGCACAGGATTTTTTAAGATTAAACATGGAACAAATACCCATTCAACTTAATAGGCAGAAAATGTTTTATGAATTTTAATTTTTTAGTATTATAGCAGTAAAAGTTAGTTATTTTGCGGAGTAATAAAGATTTGATTTTTAAATACATTCATAAACGTTTACCTTTCCCTTGGTTTCTGGATTTGCTTACTAAGCATAAATATCAAGGATAGATAAAATACTGTTACGACAGCGGAAGTCAGATGATGCTGGTAACACATGATGAATTTCTTGAATGATCACGAATTATTGGGGAAGACCAAGTTTGTTCGAGACGCCCTTTTTTTTTTTGGTATATAAGCCTGGCAGAAAAAGCCTGCAAGAATGAATGAAGATAGTTCTGGGTAATTTACGATAATGTTTCGAGCTAGTATTTTGCACTCGTAGAAAGCAAAGTTATCGAGATTGTGAATCTCAGTGATTTATAGTATGTATTATAAAAGTAGTCAAGTTTAAAGTGACAAGAAACGTATTGATTGTGAAATTACTGTGTACTAAAAGTTTGTATCGAGGAAGAATAAACTGGTTTAATCAAGAAAGGACTTGTATCGCTGAAGTTCCTCGTAAGAATTTTACCGGAAATTATCAAACAAGCAGATATGCAACAATACCAAAGTTTATGTAGAGAAGATTCTGTCAAAATATATTTATTGTAATTTAGAATAGTTTTGTTGAATTATTTGACAGGATAAAATATATTAATCTGCTTCAATGTTTAAAAATAGATGGCTGTAGATTAACATTTGTGATTTTGTTACAGACTTGGACCCCAATCATCAAGGCTAGCAAGCAAAGCTTGTTTTAACAAATTCCTCACATGTGCATTTTTGCTGAAATTTTCTGAGCACATAAAATAATCTAGAACTATAATCACTAAATGTTTCTTGCTGAGATTTAAAAAAAGTATGGCTTTGATGTGTTTTATTTTTATGTAACACATAAAAGAAATCATTGAAATTCAGTAAGCTTACTGGATTTACTTTGTTTTCTTGTTCACCAAAAAAATTAAAACATGTTTTCAGCTCTTATTTTTTCCAGTAACTCTCATGTATAAAGGGAATATCTGATTATTTACATGTACTTTTGTAATCACACAGTTACACGTACACATGTAAATGAAATAAAATGCTAAGACTAATATTTGATATGTTATGATTAGTGAATGAGGAAACTTCTAAAAAATACAACAGTAATTGAGGACTTTCATAAGTGACGGTCTTCTTGAATTCATTGATGTGTTTGTTTACATGTTTAACATATGCATGATGTTGCAGTCATGAATCACACACAACATACACAAATGTATATCAAACAGTCATAAAACAGAACAAGCATTGATAACATTTAATAATTTGACTAATTTTTTTTTTTTGTTTTAGAGGATTATAGATGAAATTCCTATTCAGTAACAAACTGATTTACAACACTGTGAAAGTATTCTTTGTACTGTTTTAGAGGGATACTACCAAGCAAGAAGAAGCTGTCTCAGTTTCATATAATATATATATATCATTATTAAGTTGTATTATATTCCTTTGTTTACGGGTTCTTTTAAGTTCTTTGATGAAAATAATTCAACATCTAGTCCATGTAACAATAATAAATTTCTTTATTTCCTCCTATAAAGTTTTGACAAACTTGTACACTGCTGTAAGTTATAATATTTATGGGGATTTTGAGTCCTTTTTAATTTACTATACAGAAACCTAAATTAATACAATATATATGTATGTTATGTATTTATTTTATTTTTCATCTAAGGTAAAACTGAAAAGAGTATCTTTGACATAGAGGCCTAATTAATTCCTTGATTGGCCATACTCTCTTCTGTGGACTGCAATTTCTCCTATTCAAGGCTCATCAGGCATAATTTATATATATATATAAAGATGAAATGTGTGTTTGTTTGCACCCTAATTCCTCCGAGCCTATTGGGCCAATCTCAACCTAAGTTTATATGTAAACACTATGAACTATGGGGAATGTTTTAAAGGGGGTCAAAATTGAACATATTTCTGTTTTGTAAAGCCAGTTGGTTAATTACTCCCAGCCTATTGAGTCAATCTCAAACAATCTTGGCAGATTAATGCTTTAGACAACGTTGGATATTCTAAAGGGATTCATGATAAAAGTATGAAAGTTGCTGGATTGTTTCTGAAACAACCATGCTTTTCTCATGGTTAATGGGATGTAAGTTGTTCAAGGATGGGATCACCTCAAACTCGTTATTTTTTTGGTAGATGGAAAGCAACCTGCAAATGTTGTTTATGAAGAAACTTTGTTATAATTTTGAAATATATGATTGCTGTTAAACTTACATTTGTTTTAATTAAGTTTAAACATTCCCCGTCAATTGATGGCTATTTCAGCTTGTGAACAGAATGAATACTATTATGAACCTGAATAAGTGTAGAAGCTTAAAGTTTACATAATTTTATCTTTAGAACTGAAGTGTTTCTACAGAAATAGTGCTTTGTTCTCAAACAGTACTATACAAGTTGTATTTTTGTTTCATATATTTAATTTAACATATAAATTATTTCTAAAAAATGATATTTTGGAATTAATTAATTTTTCCCTACATGCAGTATGCTAACAGAGGCTTAAAATAAAACAGTAGAAAATATGCATAATTTTGAATTTATGTTCTTTCAGCTTATTATTACAGGACTGATGGTTATGTGTTTTGCCAAGAGGAGAAACCGATATGCCTACTTGGTAAGATAATATTTCTACAGTAGCATTTTTTATTCTTTCTGTATTATTTTATAAGTAGCAAAATGTGGAATGTAATGATTTGTTATTCATCAGAAGATAACATGCTGTTTGTTTTAAGTTATATATTGTATGGGAAAAACACATCGGAAATATTGTTTCTAATTCACAAATTTATTAGGCTGATGTCTTACAGATTTTAGAAATAAGCATAATTAGGTTTTTAATTCATTATCTAATTAGATTAAATTTAAGGTATCTTCATTAAAAATTTTCTGTAATTGAAAATGTGTTTCATGATTACATTTATTTTTTATAAGCTGTGCATTTTTAATAGTTAAAGTTTTTGAATAGTTAATCTAAAATAAACATTTAGTACATAAGAAATTTTAAAATATTTAATGTATCATAGGAAAGTTTACCCATAAACCCTTAAACGTTTAAACTACTTGTGCATAAATATAGAGAGGCATTTATTTTATGAGTATAAATGGTTGTCACCTTTATTGCTAACTGATGATAAATTTTATGAATGCTTTAAACAAAATGGTATAATTGCCTGTTGCTAAGTGCTACCATTTCAATAGAATGATGACACGTGCAGTTAATTATTGTTGATAGTTCACTATTTCAGTAATGAAATCATTCCTGATAATACATACAGTTGAATCAACTTGAATATTCTCAATCTGCTGATAATTCAGTAGGAACACCATTCCTAATAATCCATGCATAGTTAGTCGTTGTTCATAGATGCTCAGTTCAACGAAGAGACCATTCCTTGATGAGAACATACACACATCTATAAATATAGGGACAGAGGCATTTATATACATTGTCACACATTCATTACAGAGACCTTCTGTGATAATAACAATAAATGTTGAGTTAGTCATTGTTGGTATGTCACTGTTTCAATGGTTAGACCATTCTTGATAATAGGTATCATCAGGTATTGTTCATATGTCATTGTTTAAGTAGTTAGGCACTATATTACCAAAGATTTTGGAACAGCACATCATAAGAAGGGAGGTGTAAAGACTTGCAACTGTGATCCCATTTGTATAGGAAGTGGGAAAATTTTTGATTACAGTCTGGACTCTGTTATTAACACTTGTCACCAAATGTTGTTACACATCAAGTGGAGTAAGCTGTTAACTCATGCAAAATATCACCAAGTGTACCAAGTTATCAGTGTTTGTCTTTCCTGTTCATTAGTCAGGTGTTTCAAAATGTCTCAGCATGGTCAAAACTCTAGGCTATTACAGGTAAGATCAAGATTTTATTTTGTGTATAAACCACAGTATCATGAAAGAAGTATGGTTATTCTACTTCCAATTTGATAGTCTAGAATCTCGTAAAAATGACAAGGCATTCATGGCTTCTTTAGCTATTATCACTGGACTCCAGACCAGTTAAAGTAGGCCTGTGCTATGACAACACAGTCATTCATAGCCAAAGAGTTCCCTGAGCTGGTACCAAACTTGAACCATCCGAAGCAAACAAGAGGTAGCAGTATTTGTCACTTCTCATGATAGTTTTCTTCATTGTTCTTCACTTCAATTGTAACACCCAAGGCACCATGAAAGGTTTGTCTAGTGTTCACTGCTGTGCATGATTGTTAACTCATAGTGTTTGTGAAATCAGCAGCACTGAGGCTCCCACAGAGGGTGTAGTGCTGACCATTAGTCTTGAACTCTCCCCCAAGTCATGTTTGATGAACTTAAAGTTATGTGTGTGTGTGTATGGATTCATTTTGTAACACAATTCAAATGTTGTGCGGTCTGGTAAGTGATTAACAGTGTAGACAGGCCGATATGTCTCACACATTCATAACAACAATGCCAAATCCAATAAAAACTCTTCTTTGAATGTTTATGAGATTCTGTTCTCATGGCATCTTGACCCTAACTGACTAACTGTAGCAGCTGCTGCCCTTTATAAGCCTTACACGGCACTGCATCTTGGAATTTGCATACAAATTCAGTAGAAACAGGCCCATTACAGCTGGTGGTGCCCTTTCCCAATACTTTTGGCCATATGGTTGAGTGCTGTTAAAGGAAGGAGGTCATTAATAACTAATACATGCATAGACAAGTATTTGGTAATATGTAATTATTCCAATAGGCAGAAGCAATTGTTATTGTGTTCTTAAATTTATTTTTATGTCCTACTTAACAAACAAGCTCAGAAATGCACACATATATATGTTTGTTTATTTTTCACTGTAAAATTTCCATAAGCAGTATTTGTAATAATATTCAATCTGTTTAAACACTGAGCTTAGAAATAAAAAACGTTCCCACAAAATTGCAAAATTTTATCAAGAAATTGGTAAAAAGGAGACTATATAAAGTAAACTTTCATACTTTATGATTGGTACTGTATTTTTTTTTTTGAGGGGGGGAAGTTCTTTTATAATTCTTTTAATGTAATAACAAATATAGTTTTCTTCATTACACTTTGCTATGATTCTTTTATCCTTTCTATGTATTTGTCAAAATTTTATTTCTGAATCACATAAATTTAACATGTTCAGTGAATTTACAACTAAATTAAAATCTTCTGCATGTATATAAGTTTTCAGCTAGTCAAAGGTACTTGGTAGAGTCACTAATAATTGTGTAATATTCTTCTGTCCTTGTTGAATCCACATAGGTTCACGTATCCTTGTGTAAAACTTAAGTTTTCTTCAATATTTTGTAAAATTTTGAAAACGTTTACGATAGATTTATGATTTTTTTCAAGAAACAATATCAATAGCTACTCTACAATCATCCAGTTGAATATGATGAAATCCTTTCAATCAACACAATTTTACTTTCTCTCTTCTTATACAGCTTTGCACTCTTGTATCTGCTCTTCTTGTTTTCTCATAATGCAGTGTAATAAGCTCAATTTTATTTTAATTTTTTTGCTAAGGATTTTGTGTCCCTATAGCGCAGTGGATAGCGCGTTGGATTTCTAATCCAAAGGTACCGGGTTCGTTCCCCGGCAGGGATGCCACCACCATTGCCTGGTCCCCAGTCCAGGATGAGAAAGGAGGAGGGTTGGGCGCGGGGCTAGCAACTCTGCCCCGTAAAAACCAACCTGCTACGGAAACTGCAACAACGCTTCTGTCGGCGAAGTGTTGTTGTAGCCCTATGTTCCACTAGGAATGACAGGAACTAAGAGAGAGCTAAGGATTTTATCAAATGACTAATAAAATACAAATAAATAAAAAATCCATCCAAGGTTATTGTTAAAGTACAATCCAAAAATACATTTATATCACCATACTCTGGTAAGTTCCTTGTTAGTTCTTGCTTTTGTTTTTCTAAGTTGTAGCAAAACCTTTTCATGGTTTTAATACTTAATTAATTACTCCTGAAACCCTAAGTGTAATTAACAGTTTTCTGATTATGTTTTTTGTAATGTAAGTCACCTGAAACTATTGAAACAAAGTAAGCTGAGTAAAGCTTATTAGAGAGCAGCCTTACAACCATTCATGTAGCATGTTTTGAAGGTTGGTGATATAAGTTGTCTAGACTAATTTGATATATGTATCACAGCTTGAACATTAGAAACCAAGATGGAAATAATATGAGGTATTCATTGAGCAAAAGTGTAAAAACATGAGGGCTACTGATATGATATTCATGTTCAGGACTGGTTCATTTGAGAACTGTCATGCTATCACAAGTCTTAGTTTTAGTATATTTTAATTGGTTAAAGTTATAATTATTTATAGTGAATGTTTCAATAAATTGATAAATAAACATGTATCTCTGTGTGAAATATCTAAAGCTGACTTATACCCTTTAGAAAGTTGTAGCTTTGTAAGACATGTTGAAATATTACATTCAACCAATACACACAGTTATAGATATATATAGTGATTTTTTTTAGTAAGGTGAGTATTGGCTTTTGATGTTTATGTATAACTCTTTTTTTTTTTTTTTTAGTCCTGTTCTACACTATAACCTGTTTGGAATTCACTCCAGGTGTTTTCACTCTAAACTCCAAATACCTGATTAAAAAAATCAGAATGTTTTCAGGACTAGACATAAGCAATAATTCTCAATAAAAGAGCTTTAATTATGGAGTTTTTGTTGTTTTTTCTGGCAGTTTCTGGTTATAGTTTACAGATTTCTAGTTTTTGTAATGTGTTCTGTGAGTTATGTTTATTTTTAAGATTTAACAAAAAATTCATATGAAGTTGTCAAAAAATCAAATAGATCTCTTAAAATGTTTTGTTCTTTTTTTGCCTTCTGATAGCTAGATATCTTAAAGATAAGTTTAAAAACTCGTATACTTTAGTTATGCATATATTTCTTAAATTGATAACCCTAAACAACTATGTCAATTCAAAACATTAGATTGATAAAATGCATTGTATCAACATTCAAAAAAAAAATCTTGAACCAAAAAACTGTGAATTAATGCATTTAACAATATAGTATTGCAAGTGCCCATAATATCACTTCATTTCATTTATGATAAAACTATCAGAAGAAAATTTAAGTTACTGACTTTTTTACATACTGCTCACAATTAGTAAAAAGTGCAGGTTGGTTGGTAGAGCTCTGGATTTCTGAGTTAAGTTTAAATGTGTGTGATACCACAAAATATTTCCCACAATTTAAACTTTAGGTGTATTATAAGAGTGACAGTTAGTCCCTTAGTAAGGGTAGAGTTTTGCTGACTGGCTGCCTTCCATCTGGTCAGTAGTTCAAAATTTATGGGTGACAGTAGGTAACATTTGTATCTTTGACATAAGTACAAATACAACTCAATATGCATCATATTGAGTAATTTTAATTTTTGCCTGTTACAACACTTCCATTTCCATCACATCCTCACTTTAGATACCTTTAGATGTTTGAAGAATTACCAGAACTAGATTTTGTATGCTTAGATACTTTTTAAAATGTTCTCTGTTCTTAACACTGATGTTAAAACCACACACGCTTGTTAATTCTTCATAATCTCATTCACATCCAGAACAAGCTTATTGATAAACAACGAAGATCATTGAAATGTATTGATTCCTGCCTTTATCTTTAAAATGTTGTCTATTCTAATTAACACTTATTTTAAATCTACACATGCTGAATTTTATGTATAGTTTGATTTTAAGATAATTTTGATTTTATTCCTCAAAACGTAACTATCTTTATCCATAAATGGAAGAGTGTTGTGGAATGATAGTTTAGGAACAACATAACCCACTTTAATAGGAGTGTACACACCATTTAAAAAGCATTTTAAAATGTTATTAAGTAATGATAAATGAAAACCATTTTTTAGTAACATATTTTCACACTTTCTATTTCTTAGTGAAAATAATAATAATTGCTGGCAAAATGAGAAGCTGTATAAAATAAGACATCTATTAAATTTAGAGGTATAAAACTGTCAGAATGATCGTACAATCCTGTATACATTGGTTTATGAAACATTCCTGTTTGTAAATGATCACCAAAATTGTTAATATCAGAATAATTGTAAAAACTGACCAAAAAATAGGGTGGAATCAGTTGTTTTCTATGTAAAATACACAGGAAACCTGATTACTGGGATTATCTGCAGTACTGTTGTATTTTGGTTTGGGTCTGGCATGGCCTGGTGGTTAGGGTGCTTGACTTGCAATCTAAGGATCACAAGTTCAAATCCCTGTCACCAAATATGCTCATACTATAAGGTTGCCAAGTGTGCCAGTTACCCAGGTATAAAAATTCTTGGCTACCAAAAAAGAATGACCATCCAACCCCAAACTAAAGGTCATAAAGGAAGAAAAAAAATTGTAGGTATTTTGGTTTAACTTCTATATGTGTAACTTGTAAAACCAACAAAATCATTGTTTCACCAGCAATTTAATGTATAAATATATTGCTTAATGTAATGGAATTCCTCATTAGTTATTGTAAAGTTAAAATATACATTGTATTTAAAGTTCTTTGTTTAATTATAAGATTAATAAAAAACTATTCTAAATTGACTGGGTTGTACTACATGCTGAAATTACTGTACTAATTCTGGTTAAACAGATCAAACTGGCAGGGGGATGCTGCTTGATTTGTGCTCTCTTGTGTGTGGTCATCACTGTGACCACAACAGTTATCCACATGAACAGGCTACAGACTCTTCATAAATGTGTTTACACTCCAAAGGCTAAAACTTGCACTTGTGTATCAGCTATAGCAGATCCAGGCACATCATCAGGTGAGTAGAATAGTTTCATTTGATAATGTTTGTTAAGTAAAAGTTTACCGCATGGTACAATTACTTTAATTTTATATATATATATATTAAGCACAGAGGTTTTTATATTAGTAGCAATTTTGTGACAAAGTTTACTACTCACAGAAATATTTTTATCTAAAATTATAACTACTTTTTTTCATATTACAAAAACCTAACATACCTAACTTCAAAGTCGTTAAACTAGCCAAATAAGTTTAAAATACCAAAGTAAAAAATGTATTATGTAAGTCACCTCAATGCATTGGCCTGTTAGATGCAATGTTAATAATTATATTTTTAAGAGTTTTAGCTATAAGTTATCAATTGTACTAAAATGTAATATTTTACAAATCTTGAAAATATTGTTATATGAATCTCTGTCATGGATCTGTGGGAGCAGTTCATTAGAAACAAATTAAACTGACCAAAATTAAGTATTTTTAGTCTATAATGTAGGCATTAATGAATGATTGATATAAACTAGGCAACATAATTATATATTCCCGTCAAGATTCCACTTTTTGTAATATTAACTTATCCACCATACTGAAGGGTTGCAACAGCTGCATCAGATTTAACAATAGTAGAAAAAAGGTACAACAGGGTACCATACTGACATGTTACAGATAACCTTAAAATAGCTTTCACCACTTGAGCTTTAATATACTTATTATGTAACTGCAACCAAACTATTAGTACAATATAATTAGCAAGGGTAACTTAGTACAAATTGAACTAGTAAAAGTATCAGTCTATCTTGTTAATTCCTTTTACAATTTTAACTTAGTATAGGGCTTTCTGACAAGAGTAACTTGCTTTCCAATATGAGCTAATGCTGATCAAAATTTATTAATTTAAGCAGATATTTATCTGCTAGGAAATAGATCTCTTTACAAAGAAATAAGTAATAGTAATCTGCCTGTCCAAGTACTGAAGTTCGTAAATATTTTCATTGATAACTTTGTAGAGTCTCATAGATTTGTGTTCAACAATACTCCTAACTGTGATGTTGTCCATGGAAGTCTATCAACAAGTCTACGGGTTTTATTTGGCCTTTCTGTCATTGGAATTCTCATCTGTATTTTCTCTGCCATGTTAGTTTACCAACTCTTAAGCCATGAGAAGAAAAAACTATATTGGGAACAGGTAACTAATTTGTTCTAGCTGTATTAAATTTTACACAGTGAAAAACTTACTATGCATAAATGTAGAAGTATGAAGTACCTTGAGGGTATGCTTATTTGTGAAGTATGTGATGTTATTTATCTAAGTTCATTATAACCATCCATCTTGTAACAAAGGAGAATTAAACCATCTTTTAATGTATTTAAATGATCTGAACTCTTTTAGTTAACAATATAATATTGTTTAATATATTTTCCAAAACACTAAGACTTACCTCTGAAACATAGTTATCCTCTCCTTGTTGAGTAGAACTCACTCTGTTAGTATCACGTGACCTAATGCTCTGAATCTCCTTGATGCAGTGCAATGCTTGCATCATACCAACTTTCACATGACTTACTTTCATACATATTGGGGGACTACCTAAGCTCTACCTACCTGCCCATATCCTGATTTATTTTTATGACAGTCATCTGTTCACATTGTTTTATCTATTCACCATGAAATTAGATTTTAATGTTAAAACTTTTGTCAATATGGAAATTTCTGCTACTTCATTTGAAGCTTTATTTCCACATTTTACTATGGGTGTACAACAGGATCCCATAGCTACATTGTTTAATGTATTTGGGTCATGCATGCTGTGACACTTGCTGTTACCTCTGTGGGATTTCCTGTTCAGCTTAACAGTAATGTTGCAAAACATTATTAGCCACCTTTTGATGCTTCGTGCATAGTATATCATTCACATATTCTCTTTTTATAGATCTTTTTAAGGCATTTTGACTTCAGTATCCTTGATGCCATTATGCTGCCAACTTGAGAGTTGGATCTTGTTTTGCATTCTTTAGCTTCTCCGTTATTTGAGCCTTTAGTAGCTTGTTCATATCATCTGTTGCTCAAGACTTATTTTCTTCTTTTACTTGCTTTGGGCAGGAGATGTTCAATCTTTGTGCTATGGATTCTCTTGCACCTTGTTTTCCAGGCAGTTGCACTACTTTTATTTTGATAAAGCATTATTGCCTAAAACTTGGTCTGCATGGAAGAGTAACAATTGTTTTTCCCTATTCTTTTAAAAAAGATCCTGATTTTCATTCTAATTTTCTTTGCTCTATCCGAGTTATTAGGTGTTATCTTTCATGCATGTACAGAATCTTTTTGAGGGCCTAGACATATGTTATTAGCTGCGGCATAGAGGCTCATAGAATGGCTCTGAGTCTTTTTTTGTTGTTTTTTTTCAAGTACAAACTTTTAGCTCATAGCTCCGTCATCTCTTGACCGATTTAAGATCTAATTACAGTTTTCGACCCAGGAGGTCAAACCATTTTGATTGATTTATTTGTCCACGCCCAAGGTCTAGTAGATTAATTTACACTAATCCTTCCTAAAAGAATTTCAATTTGAAAGTAGGCTGGTAGAAATCCCGATGAGTAATAACATGGAATCAGGTATATGTGTGCCTCATAACATATGGCATTGTTGACGCACAAAAATATAGCTAAGAAAAAAAGGGTCTCATAGATTAATTTACTTTCATTTCAAGTGCTGCGGCTATTGAGGATTCCCTCTTACTTTTATCTTATGATGAGTCATGTGCTTCACATGTAGCTACTGCTACTTTAATGGATTAACTTTTTTAATTGATTTGGGATTTAACCAATTTCCTCATACATGTGTTTGGTGTTTCATCCCATCAGGTTTGGCATTTGACGATGTCGTTGGTGTCATGGTTGAGATACCCTTTAAAGGATATCTTGCAGGCCAGTATGTGAATGACTCCAATTACATTTTTATGATTTTATTTACATCATATTGCTGTCTCTTAAGCTTTGGAATTCTACTTACCCTTGATTATTGCATTCCAATTCCAGTGGAATATTTAACAGATACATTTAATTAAACATAAAGAAAGATATAAAAACTGCCACAGTCTGATTTTGATAACTAGTTTCCATACAAAACCTGGAATCATCTAATCAGGACTTAAGTATGTTTATAAGAACCTCTGCATTTGTCCCTGACCCATACCATTCTCTGTACTGGTACTCCATTAGAGAGTGATGCCCTTTGGATATGGATAATGCCTCAGAAGGTGCCTGTCTTTCCATCTGTGCATGCACGTAGCACATAGCATTATAACAAAACTGATGGGATATTATTATGAACCTCTATACTGTCTTTTGATGCCACTCTTTCTTATTTTCCTCTGTGATGTTCCCATTGCAGTGACCTGAGTTGTTGAGACCATCCTCAAATTCACCTAGATTTCTTCAATTCTTTATGGGTGCCTACTGATTAGACCAGGTAGAGACCTAGCTTATTTGTTTTTGCTAGTCTTTTCTGGATGGATTAAATGGAGTACAGTATTCTACCCTTGGAACTGTTCATTCTTATTTTACTGTAAGAAAAAATGGTATGGTCTTCCTTGTTAATGCCACTCTCAAAGAAGTGTGGTGGCCTAGATATACTAATTCCACCCAGCTTCCACTAGCTTCCTGGGTGATTTAGGTAACCTTCTGGGAAAAATGCTTCTTCTTAATGTACTTAGAAAACAGTGGATCAGCCTTTGTTAATTATTATGTACTTTTTCTCTCCACTTTTTCTCAAATGAGAATTTAGCCCATCTTATATAGTTTGTATTCTGGTTTTTATTTTTCATACACTAACTCCACTAGCCATCAATTGGTACTTGTGGGATGCTTCATAGTCCATAGCCTATCACATTCTCTGATTTGTTTCTCCCTTTCACTGTGGGTGCCTTTGTGCTTAACTTCAAACAAACAAACAATTCACTGTGGGCACTCTGGCTAACTGTATTTCAGAGGTAAACTTTGAATTTTTCATTTTTGAAAAAATAAAAATAAACCTGGCTTTGAATGGGGGAAGCTAAAGCTTAAGTAGCCTTCAGATGTATGTGCAAATAAGTGAATAGAAGGTGGGTGAATAGAGGACTATGGGTAGGTATGATGTAATTACTACATATCATCAAGATTCAGAACTTTGGGTTATGTGACATTGACAGGGTGAATTGTACTCAACAAGGAGAGGCTAACTGTGTCTCAGAGGTTAGTACCTGTTTGAAATTTATTTTAATTTTAAACTTGTAAAATTCTGCCCTTTTGTTTAATTTGCTATTGGCTGGGTTAGATTTGTTTTCTAACTTATATTTTCTATTATTCATTTATATTCGATGTAGAAATATTTCTCAATTTCGAAGGTTTGATTATGCATACCAGGCTACTAGTATGGTTACTATAAACTATTTACCTAATGTTTAATAGTATCACTCACCTATATTTAATAAAGGTTCTAAAAATCTTCCTTATCTCTCCTGGTTAGTATCATTGTTTTCTTCCTTATGCCTCAAAATAATGATTTGTATCTTTTTTTTATTACTAGAGTATATCATTTTGTTACAATTACATGTGAGAATCGCATAAAATCGTTTTTTCTGATAATAAAATTATAAACAGGCACTTTTGAATGCAAGATTAACAATCATCTATTATACTAATGCTCAGTTTTTATCTGTCCTGAAAATACGCATGCACTTTACTATTTAATGGATGTAAACAAAAGGCAGACATAAATATACTTTAGTAAATATTATGTACAACAACATGTTAAAAGCTTGTCAAAGTTTTCAAAAAAGTCTAAAGCTAGGTTGTAGAATAACATTATAAGTTTACCGTATTTAATACTATGTATAATAGTTACTACTTAATGTTTTGTATAAGCTTTAAGACCTTAATATGTATATACTTAAAACATGGTATACATTGTGCGATGGTCAGGGTGACTTTGTAAAAAGAGGTAGTGGCAGTAGGGGTACTTTCTGTTACCCGCTTTCAACACCCAGCTCTTAATGTCCTTTTACAGTGGTTCACATGATTACTTAATGAGCCAAAATTGAAAGGTCACGAATTAAAGTAGGAAGTGGGTATAACTCAAGAAATGGCTCGTCATATCAGCCTTATGGTGGCTGTTGGAGTAGAAACTTCATCTGAGTTTATGTATCATTGCAATAGTGGCAGCCATTTTGTTTTTCATTACATTCATCCATAAAGAGTGCTAGTACACTCTCTGAGATGTATAAGATGCTTGTGTATGTTGTGTTAAAGAAAATTTAATAAAAGTTTTTTTTTGTGTAAGGATGTGGCGCCATCTATGAGTATAGTTAAGGTTAATTTACATCAAGGTATTAAATACTAAATCACAGCAATAATGGGGGTGGAGGGGCTGTAACCCCCCAATTAAAATACCTTTATTCCAAATTGCCATCTCACAAAGTTTGTTTGAGATTGGCCCAGTGACATAGGAGTGGTTACATAACAGACATACATATTTTTTGTGGTTTATATATATATAGATTTTATATGTATTTATAAAACCACTTAAGAATATTAAATGCTTTAAATGTATCTATATATATATATATATATATTAACCACTATTATAACCTACCTGCCAGTATTTTTTCTTTGTAGTTTTAGATAAAGAATGATCATTCAGTGGGAGTTGATGAGTTCAAAATATCTATTTAAAATTAAATGTAAAGACCAAGCTGTTACAGTTATGATTGTTTATAGAATTTGTTATTATTAGACTTGTCCTCTTGCAATCTACATACAAATTTCCTTCTAAAAACATAATTTTTGAAAATATTCTGCTTTTAACTAACCTGGTACAGCAAGTAGTGACTGATATCCTGTTACAAAGTGTTTTATTTTTATATGTAAACACTTAAACAAATGTGTGAACAATTGGTATTTTACTTGACATATATGTTCTATTCAAACTCTTTAACAAAATACCTGTAATAACTTGCTAACTATCTTGTTCGTTTTATAATTTTTTTTACTTGTTTAAAAATGTTGAAACCATTAAGACAGAACATTGCTAGTAAATTGGAGCCCAATTTTTCTAACATTAACTTATATATGTATTTATTTTTTACAAGATGCTTCCACAATTGACTTCTACTTCTGAGATAAATTTTTTCTCTTCTTTAAAGCACTTTAAAAAATGTATTTTTAGGTTCAACTTAAAATTTTTGTACTTATTACTCTGTATTTAAAAGTGGTACTGCACTATATACTTTTTGTTTTACTTATTTTTTTATAAATATCTACTCAAGGGAGGTTGGCCTGGATTGTATGATATATTCAAACGATGATGATACTATTATAGAAACATATTATATTATTATTGTTTGTGTTTTTAATATCTTAAGAGATTCATTACCTGATATTATATTGTACAAAAAGATTTGAGAATATAATGTTAAGATTATAATTTTCATTTATTTCAGCTGGAATTAAGAAGAAGGTTCATCTATGCTCGCCACACAAATCATCCACTGTGTAGTTGTTATGAGGACATGTACCCATGGCCTCTATGGGAAATGTTGGATTATCGTTTCCTTAGTGCTCACCACTTTAACTCGGGACCTCTCACAGAGGAAGAATCTCCATCACAAGGAACACGTATACTGGAAAACAATGGCCAAGGACGAAACAGTAGTCAGCGACACACAGGTTGGAGCTGGCTTCCTTGGCCATGGCATAGTGCTGCTGAAAGAATTCTCCATACTCGTGGCTCAGTCAGCAATATGAGAAACAGTTTCATGAGGCGATTAATCTCAAGAGAAATATGGAGAGAAGACACAACATCCCCTTCCACATCTACCCCACATGAGTCCCCTTTGCGGCCAGATTCACCCCAAACTTCTCCATGGAGAACCAACACTGGTCACATTTTTCATCCTAATATGAGAACTGCAGCAGCTCAACAACGTTTTGGTGCTCGCGCGAGACCAACTGGCTCAACAAGGCCATTAGTAACACACAGAAGAACTCGCTCAAATGATGGAGTTTTTCACCATTTACAGATGAACTCCTCAGCTCGCTATAGCCCCTCCTTTGTCCCAGCTGAAAGTTATGAAATTCCTAGACACATGTGGGGACCACCACCTCCTTATTCTCACCCACCTTCAACAGAAAATGTTTCAGGCTTACAAAATGGTTTAGGGAACACTGGACAGCATTGTTTCCTACCTGGTCGAGAAACTATCAATCCAAACTCCACAGTTGTAACTGTGGAATCTCAAGTTCATGACACTGAAACAAATGGTGCTGCATCCAGTTCTTCCAAAATGAGCACACCGCTGTCAGAGAGAAGGTTAATGTGTCACTTTTCTTCATCTGATGGTATCACTCTGACAATAAGTAATAACTTGTTGAATATCTGTAACCAGAGTGATGATGGTGAACTAGATGAAGATAAACGAGATAATTCATGTATTGTTGAAATGCAAGTACCATATATTGTTCAAAAAGAAGACATAATGTTTAATACTCTACCAACTAGAAGCTCAAGGAAAAAAGACTTAAATCCATTCAAATCTCTATCTAATATTCCTTTGTGTTTATCAAAGAAACTTAATGAAATGAACCTGGAGAAGCATCATTCTGGTAATCTTTCATTTATTGAATCTTGCTGTGAGGTTGAAGATGTTTTACATTGTTCTGTGGAGGACCTTTCTAAGTTTCAGGAAATTGAAAATACAATCTGTGATAAATTGACATATAAAACATTCTCAGAAAGACACTTGTATGACGAAGACAGTCAAAATATTTCCCTTTCAACAGATTCTTCCCCATCTTCTTTAAGTTTCCAAGCAACATTTGTAGAACTTCCTTCAGATTTTAAGTCTAGTGTAATGATAGCCACTAGTCCTTCTACTCCAGTAACTGAAAATGTTACTCTTAATGACAAAATGTATGCCCAATCAATGCCAAACCTTAGTATATCAAACTCTCCCACAGCTGCAAGCATATTTTTTCAAGTACCTTCAAGTGGAAACACTTCAACTTCTCAAGATTTTGCAGATTTTGATTTAGATGAGGAAAGTAGTCCTTTAGATTTTGATAGCCCTTCATCTGATGCAACATCTGCACCTTCTCTTCCAGAAGATGAGCAACATTTTTATGGAAGTAACCACCTGTTGTGCAACCATCCAGAAATTCCTAAAAATGAGCACAATCTTGACTGTGATGAAAGTCAATTACCTGGAAAAATGAGATGTAACTTACCTTGTCCTCCTACATTTACAGCATCTGGTCGAACCTTACCAGCAGATAAGAGTCAAACGTCCATGAAGGAGATTACTGAACAACAAGGCTGTCTCTCTTGCCCAGAGTCTGAAGCTGTCAGTGAGAACAGAGGCTTTTTTAATCATGGCTTAGTTGAACCAAAGTACTTGGCTACAGATTTTACATCTACTCAAGCATTTCCTAGTTCCAGTGAAGGGGGATGTTATGCCAGTGACAACATCCCAGCCTTGCTTACAGTCTCTCCAAGAGACAGAACAGAGAGTTTTGTTGTAACAATCAAAAGTGTGAATGTTTAATTTATCGTTTCACTTTTTGATGATATGTTTTGTTGAATAATTACATGAACAGTAGTAATTTCTTATAAGAACTACTTTTTATGGTACATACAAGCGATTAAACCAGATCATTATAAATAATAACATGTTGTTGTGAGTAAATGTGCCAAGAGTATAAAAAAAAGAAAAAAGAAGAGACCATGAGTTGAATTACCAAATGAACATTCATGAATGCCTACTACATTTAAGGGCCTAAGGTGTGACATACATTTAACAGTGCATTTAACAGCATAGTGAACTTGATACCAGATTTCAAGTTGAGCAACCGTGCTCAGTGCTTTCAATATTTTTGGATACTAGCCAACTTTGTGTATACATATATTTTCTGATGTTTAAGTAAATAGCATGTAGTTATGAGAGAAGAGTCCAATATTTAAATTCTTAACCAACAGAAAGAAAAAGGTAAAGCAGGATTAAGCTGTAGTTAGATTTTGATAGTTCAAACAAATGTGCGTTTCTACATACTTTTCGAGACATTCAAGTTGCTGACTACCAAGTGAACATACGTTTACAGTGTATCCTAATTACTTTTAGTCCCATGAAGTTTGAATACAAATTGTCGGTCCATAACAAATCTGAATACTTATATCAACGATGAGTTGACCATATTTCATTCAAAAAACGTTTACATTTTGTGCTCTAATGTTCAGTTGGAAATAAATATTAAAAAACACCATTTTCTCCTTACAAGTTTTCACAATGACGGCTGTGTTTGTAAATTTTTTATATATTTTGAGACAAGATTTTGGACTTTTAATATCTGTGGTATTTCGTTGACTTTGGTTTCTGTGAAATGTAAGTCTTAAGGAATAGAAATACATAATATCTTAGATATTTTATTTAAAAATACAACTACTCTGCCAAGTATCATAAGTTCATTATTAAATTGGTTTATTATGTAACGAATATATTTAATTCATATATCATATAGACTGGTACCAGCTTAAATACCATATTATATTATCAAACAAAAAACCAGTTGCACTTTATATGCACGATTTCTTTGTGACGTGGAGCAGATTAATTTCAAGTTTCGTCTTTTTTTTTTAAATGAAAGATTTATAGCGGAAAACTACCTGTTCTTATGTGTTAATCTGTTAATTATTTTTAATTTTGTAAGAATGTGAATTATTTGCCCATTTTGGTAGGTATTGTTTAAAGTGTAGTTGTAAAGAGTTAGAAAGGATTATTGGGCGAATTTGTTATGCTCTAAATTAATGTCTTCAAAAAGTATTATTATTATTATTCATTGCTGAAAAACACCTAATATTGTTATTATTAGAAACTTCTTTTCATTGCAAAACAGATTCAAATCATTTTGTGATTTATTTCGTGGCTTAGAACTGTTTTAATTTATAATGGCTGGAGACGGCTTGAATGGGTAATGAGGAAAAACTTTAATATAACAGCAAATGTACAATGTTTCGACCAGGTTTTGATGACAAAACCTTGTCGAAACATTGTACATTTGCTGTTATATTAAAGTTTTTCCTCATTACCCATTCAAGCCGTCTCCAGCCA